GTTGGTTTTTAAGTTCTCTTTGATTTGATTTTGTTTTGTTTACTTTTTGTCTTTTATGTGTTTTTTTGGTTTGTTTGGTTTTTTTCTTTCTTTTTTGTTTTTTAGTCGTTGCAAGTTCAAAATCTTTCGAGCTGAGTGTTAGATTATACTAACTCCAGTCTCCCACGTTTGTAAACTTTGTGACAATCGTTAAGTTGAGTCTGTTACTGCTAATGTCCTTTTTCCGGGGAACTTCTAATAAATAAGTTGCATTCTGTATCGACTCTCGGTCTGTCGACTACAAAATGTGTAAAGCGTTTAAATCCGTTACTTCTTTAATAAGAAGATGAATGATACTAAGATCAATCTATTTGTGTCATCAAAGTCTACCACATACTTAGTATTCAATGTTTTCTTTTTCAAAATTGTAACATACTGCAATGTTGAAAGTTGAAAGCGTGCTCTTTTGATCTAATGCAGTTTCAAGCGCCGTAGAACTCTTACTAAACTAACCAATAATGTTGAATGACGACAATAAAAAGGAAGCGGTTTTCTGCCCTTACTGACACGATACCTGGATACCTGGAGGTGTCATCTCTGACTCAGAGGTTGACGTGTAATGACCCTCCATCTTTCACGGTCGCGAGCTGCCGTTGCACATTCTGCCACATCCAAGCCAGTCTATGTTCTTATGTTGTTCATCCACGTTATTCTTTGCCTTCCTCTGGTTCTCCTGCCCCACAACTTTCCTACTGACACGATGTAGATTATAATTTGACCCTTTCAGCCCTGGACATTTTTTTACACTTCCTAAGCCCAGTCCCAGCCAATACAGCATTATTTTAGAAAAAGAGACATGCATTCTAAAAAATAATGTAGCATCTTTGTAATGAGATTTAGAGAATAACATCTTTATAAATACCTTGTTTATAGGTAAATGAACAAATGTTATGAAAATTAAAGTTTAACGTAGTATGTAACAATGTTTTTAAAATCTCGAAAAAGAAATGCGCAAATTTGGTACCCCCGAAAACTGAGAATATACGCTCTTGGGTCGGTGGGAGGTACAAGCGCTGCTAATAATATAGGTGCTTGGGGCTGGAAGGGTGAAGAGACGGGCTGCTTTTACCCCGCCAATCAACACAGAGTTTCTTACAATCGCCCTTTTCTCCCAGGACATCCCAGTAGACGAGGAGTTCCTTGAACTGGCGCGAAAGCTCCGGGAGAAGAAAGTGATCCGCGTGGAGCATGACTCGACCATCCACATGGGCACCACTGACCAGGCCAGGGAGTATGACGGGAACGAGCTGGACCGGTTTGATCCGGTCACCGTGCTGTTTGAGTACATGAAAAAGGACAACCTGAGGGTCATTGACTTGTTTCAGGTGAGATAATTAGTGGGGGG